AGAAAAAAAAAAACCCAAAGTAAACCTTAAAGACAGAAAATAAATATAATTTTTATGAATATATGCAGAGAGAGTGCAAAAAACTGCATCTGTAAAACATTTAAATGCTGAATCATACCACAAAAAAAATTTACAAAAGCACTTATTTCTTTATACATGTCAGCTTTCTTCTTATAAACACAAAAATATTTTAACAAATCTTACAAAGATCAAACCCTTTTGCCCTTCACCAGAAGAAAAGTGGTGAAGAAAGTGTATTACCTGGAGGAAAAGAAAAAAACCCAAAAAATAACAGATAAACAGAAGGTAAAATCTGCGAGGGGCAAGACAGGGGTCTGTGGCTGCTGCTGGTTCACACCACACACACAAACACACCCAGTGTCAGACTTGGACACTTCCATGTACACACATTTTAAACACAGGCTTTTTTCAGAAATGAGCAATGCTGGGGCAGTCAAAAGAGGTCTCACACAGTGACCCTTGGTGCCTGTGATGCCAATACCAGTGTATGGAACAGTTCTGCTTCTCTTCATTCCCAAGCCTTGCTCATTAGGGAAAAGTCAATGATCAGACCAGCTGAGCTCCAAATAGCTCATGTGAACTGGAGCTTCTGTGAAACTGGACCAGGCCAGCAGCGAGAGACTTGGAGAATGAATGGATTTGCTCTGGGTTCTGGGGTGTTTTGGAGGTGGGCAGGTAGCTATGGCAAGGGCAAGCTTGAGACAGGGCCCCTGGTGAAGGTCTGGGACACACTCGAACATAGTGAGACAGCCCAGCACAACAGGTGCCATGGAGCTGGTGACACCCAAAGCCTCACCTGGCCGAGTCCCTTGTGCACCACATCCACCCACATCCACCCTGGGTCCCAGGAAGCCGTAAAACTCAGGCACCTTCTGGAAATTTAAGCAACTCACTGCACACGTGCTGCAGCTTCGTACATTCAACCTGTCTGGGATCTCCTGGCACGTGGCCACCAGAAGCTGCAGCTTCTGTCTGGACATCCAGAAGGCATCAGCAAATTACTGACATCCTTAATTTTCATCCAAGAAAAGATAAAGTTTTTTGGGAAAAAGGGAGAAGAATGAGGTTGTGTCCTTAAAAGAGCTGGTGGACGTTGTCAATCAGTATCATCTTTTACAGCTCAGATTGTGATGGTCAATAAAACTCATTGCTAGGAAATCACCTTCCCTAACAATAGAAATTTGCTCGACTCAAAGAACTAACTTGAAGGATCATAAAAGAACCCTCTGATATAACTACAAAACAGTAGGAAACATTTACTGTGGACTGCACCATATCACAGAAATTTACTTTGCAGGTGCACCATGACCTTCTCTACCGGAAGCAGAAGAGAAAAGCCTTCCAGTATGAATGCAATTAAAATAAATATCATATGAAAAAGGCAATGATACTTCATCCTTAGTATTTTCTAATTACTAATTATAAATTATATTAGCATTGCATAAATTATAATAATAAATTATAAAACCACATTGGTTATGAGAAACTTGAATGTCGTGACACAAGACAGACCTTTGGGCTTTGTGTTCAGCAACATCATTCAGCTCTCACTTCATTACTTTGCTAACTAGAGTACAAATTAAAATGAGACTCAAGTTCTCCAGAGTCTTAGCAGTAAAGTCAACCTTCCAGAAGACTGCAAGAACCAACTCTTGCTGTTCCAGGAAAGGTAAATTTTCACATCTTTATTTCGAGCCATGTAAATTATGATCTCATCCTACACACTCATGTGTGAGAGATGTCTGACAACTGTTTTATAACTAGCACACTCTGTTCAACTGTCTCAGCATATTTATAAGATTATCTTCCTGGCTTTCCCTAGAAAGCCTCCAGAGAGCTTGAATTCTTAAATTACGAATCTATACATGATAAGTATTTTTTATTTATATAATAAAAATATGTATACAGGAGATAGGGTTTTTGGGCTTTTTTTCCCCCCAGCACATTTCCAAAGAAGTCTGCTTAACAACAGAAGCATCTCCTCTGTGAAGCTCAAAAGCTGCATGGCTCCCTTATCTATTAGCTCTAACAAAGCAGCCCTTATTTAGGTGTCAAAAGAGAACTTCTTAAATCTCAGTAAGTTTTTCTAAACAAGCCAAGTCTGGAATTTCTAACTTTGGTCAGGTAACTCAGCATCAAATTTCTTTTTAAAGCCTGGGAGAATATGGCTGGAAGATTTTTATCCTCATACAAAGAAATCTACTAGCTTTGCTCTAAGACTCTTTGGCCTGAAATACAGGATGAAAAATAAGATCATAAAAGGAATTAGTTTGAGAAAGAATGACTGGGAGAAGGAGATTACAGTGCAAAACAGATTTTAAATTTTAAAGCAGCAGGCACTACAGCACAACCATCCATTGTGGTACCAAAAAATGGAGTTGCCAAAATTTGATTTTATTGTCCCATTGTGGAAATGCAGTTGTACCTGCCCACTTGTATTTATTTCTTCATGCAAATATGGAGGCAATATCCAGTTTCTCTTAGCTTATTCAAGTAAACTTTGTGTACATTTTAAACATGTCTTTGGACTTCATGCTGTGTAACTGGACAGACAACAAGACGTAGCATTTAGCATCATTAAAGCACTGAGAAACATTCATTATTGTTACCCCTTGTGCCCTTCTTTGGGGGAAGCAACCCTATGCACCAAAAATAAACCATCACTTACTGAAGGGCACCCACTATAGCTCTGCAATAAATATTGCAGAGATGCACTTATGCTGTAGCATGACAAGTGTCTTCTTTTTATTAAGAGATGGATTTGGGAGCAGGTATCATCATGCTCATTTTAACACAAGGACATGAAATGCTGAATGGGATCTTCAGCTGTATTTGACACAGATCCAGTGACTGATGGGAAATGGTGTGATATGTGTCCATGGAGATTTGTGGCCAGATACAGTACAAATCCAGGTTTCTAGCACTGGTCTCTTAAATTTTAGGAGCTGACCTTTAAACACCTAGAGCCCAATTTTCATAAGGTCTGAATGCCCCTGGTTCAGAAGGAATAGAGTACTTTCCACTTCTGTTCTCCAAGAGAGACATCTGTGAATGCTCTCAGTGTAACATTAAAGGCCCAAAACCCTCAAGGTGTCTCTCAGTGGTCAAAGGCCCAAGGACAAACTGGTGATGAGTCCAGGGTGGGCAATTGCTCCTGTGTGGTACCTGCACTGCCACAGCCCTGGGCTCTCCCCTGGCTGCCATCCCCACACCAGCCACCTGCCACAAGGGCAAGAAGAGAGATGGGAAGAGCAGTGAAGACTGGTAGTTGGTGGTGTGCACCAACTACATCACACAGAGGGAGCTCAGGAGAGTGGATTTACAGATACCTTGATTAAAAAGAGTTAGATGTAGTCAGTCCTCTCTTTTTTAGTTCTCCCTAATTATTACTAGTATTATTTGTCATGCTTTCAATAAATCTTTTATAAAGTGACTTTGTTTCTCTGGAAACTCTGTGAGCATAGCCAGTTGGTGCAAAATAGCTGCCTTCTGGAAAACAAAGCACCAGGGTTTTCCTGCTCCCAGCACTTCAGCATAGGTAATGCTTGACTCAGCCAGGCCAGGGTCTACTTAATGCACATGCTCAAGTATTCCCATGCAATGAAAAGCCAGGATACATGGGGCACTGGACACAGCCTTTTTAAAAAAATCAATGTTGTAAAACTTTAATTTTAAGCTCTTAAGATATCCAGAGCTTTTCTTGGTCCATTTGTTGCACCTACACAGCCAAAGGAAGGGGTGCCTGTAGCTCGTGTTCTCCTTATCCAGTGTTTGTGTAAAAACCTCCAGCAAAAGCTTGGGCTACCAATCCACATCTAGATTTCCTAGATGCCTGGACTGGCACTGAGACTGCCAGGCTGTGTTAACTCTTGCATGGTTAATTTATATGAGTTTTGGTGTGCCCACCAGGCACTTAAACTGCCTTCAGCAGCCTTTCTTTAGCAGAGGGAGAACCTGACAGCTTCGTTAACACAACAGTGCTAATGAAAAAAAGATCTGCCACCCTCATTCCAATAGGTATTTTAGCAAAACCGGGCCAACAGAAGGAGGGAGAGGAAACGGAAAGAAACCAGACTAGCAAAGGATGCATCGGTCATGGGTAAGATCACAAAACATGAAAAACGCTCAAATTTCAACATGCAAAGGATATTGGTACATTGCAATGCTGGTTATGGTTAAAGAGAATGTACAGCTCCTACGTCTTTGTCCTTGAGGCTCTGTTAAAGTAAGACTTGCAACTTCAAGTTCATAAATAAAATGGAAATGACAGTAGTGCCATAAAAACGTAGGTAGAAAAATAGTGCAAAGCCAAGGGCTGGACACTTTAATCTGTCACAAGTACCCTTAAAGCACTACCATTAGTGCTCTTCAAGAAAACACATACAGAAAACATTCTTTATTTATTATAAATGGCAGTTGCCTGCATTGCACTCTGTATTTAGAATGTACTGTCTACCGTTCTGCTTCCCTTCAAAGCTGAGCATGAAGAATAAATACAGCCTTTCACACTGGCGAGCACTGCCTGCCCTCCAGCCACGACTGGTAGCAAAGTCAGACAGTATTTATAAAAGAAATCAATTAAAAAGTAAAACAGACAGTATCATTTAAGGCCTCTGTCCTTGCTAGTCTGCTCAACAGACTACACTTTCACAAAAGAAGAAAACCTGCCACTTTTGTTACAGTAACCAGAGAGCAAAGTTAAACAGAAAAAAGGTCACATTTACAGCTGCCAAGAAGGCAAAGTTCCTGAGGCTCGGCCAAGCAGCACACACACACAGGCAGCACTCGCAGCACCCTCGCAGCACTCCCGGCTGAGCTCCGACGGGGGCAGCCAGGCCCAGCGCCAGCCCGACACCGCGCTCGGGCCCAGCATCTCCTTCAAACCCTGCAGCCCCTGCGGAAAGGGGTTTGGAATTACAGCCAATTGTACAGTGCAAACTTGAATCTGCTCCCACAGATATAGAATAAAACACAGAACAAAAGCGCCACCGGCCCCGGTTGTGAGGAGCACCATCCACTAAGGAAATAAACCCCAGAGAGCAGAGTCTGATCTCAGCTACTCCTGACTGAAGAGCTGCAGTAATTCCAGCTCTTCAGTGAGCTTTCAGTGAACTTACACAGGTGTAACTGATACCAGGGCTTGAACTGGTTTGGCAGTGATGCACCAAAATTAAAGTGAAGCACTTATTAACTGACAGCCTTCCATATTTAGAGTAACTAAAAAATATCACTAACAGAGTTTGTTAACCTTGAGCAGGACAAGAGAAACACCCACCAATGGACGGAGGTCACATTTACACAGCATTTCTCAAGTATTCACTTCAGCAGATCAACAAGGTTTTGAAGGAGGGCTTGGCTTAGCCTGGTTTCAATAACTTTTTATCAGGGTTCTTGCTGCCACCCCATGTAAACTGTTGAAAAAAATACACTGACTCCCATATGTACTTAGTATATCTGTGCCCATGCTGCCACTCTGCACAGACCCAACCAGGATCCCAATGCTCTGCACAAAGTGGGAACTGTATCACAGTCTTTCTTACGATATTACCTTCACTGTGAGTTTTCTACACCCATGGTACTGACAAAAAGCATGCCCAATGGTAGGGAAATATGCATATTCCTAATATTTCATGGTAGATATGTCATGTTAATGTGAGAAAAATAGCAGCTTTCTCAAGGTCCAGTCTCTCAAAAGAGAGCCCTATCTTAGAAACAGTTTTGTTGGTTTTTTACTTCTGTAGTTGAGATCAATGGCAAAAATCAAATTGATTTCAATGCTGAAAGAATGCCATGGCAGCCAATTGACAGGAAACTACCAAACGTATTCTCTTAATGGTTTGTTACATTTAACTGTACACAAGCTATCAGACAGAAGAACCTAATCAGGCTTTTCCCTCTTTCTCTTTCACAAAAGACCCAAAACTTTCTGAGAAATCTGAGTGTCACCAAGAACCAACAGCAAGCACGACAGTAATGACTGAATCTGCAAAGACAGAGTAATGCAGCAGGATCAAGTCATGTGCAGCTGATGGAAAATGGGAATGTTCTATCAGTCTTGAATAGGGTATGAAGGACTGAATGGTGTCCTGTTTTCCTCTTCAGGAAGCAAAAACCTACACTGCATGTACTGCACAATAATCTGGACTTGTTAGTGATAGAGTAGCCTGTAAAGAATAGGCACTTATCCCAAGAACTGGCAAAAAAAAGGAGCATTATTTGGTAGGTATGGCACCAAAACACAACCATTGTGCTTCCTCACATACGTATGCTGTACAGATGGAGACTCAAAAAGACACAGAGTTTTAGGTCGTTGGCAGGCTGGGTTTTTTCTTTTTGCTCCGGCAAGATTTGCAAATGCAACAGATGATGCATGGAGATGCCACAAGCAGCAAGGGGGAGGTCACCAATGCTATGATACCTAGTCCAACGAGGATCCCCACAACCTGAAAGACAGGGTGATGAAAAATACATATTTAGATAGCATGGAAAATAAAATATGCATGTGCATGCATAAACATAGCATAGGTCACCAAAAAAAAATGAAAATATGAAAATAATAATCTTGGGTCTTCTCCGAAGGCTAAAATCTCTTTGCTTCATGCATGCATGAGAGCTCTGCCCAGCTGGTTAGGAACACACCTGTGTTCTGTTCCACATCACTGAAGCCCGTGAGTGGCCCAGCTTGTTTCTGCAAGGGCCTCTGTCGTAATGCCGTAAGAAAATATCATTCTGAAAAACAAAAGGAGAAGCTGTAAGAGCAGGTTAGAGAACTGCAGTGAGAAGTTCAAGACCAGAGTGGAAACACAACCTTCCTGGCACTGCTTGGAAATTGCCAGCTGCCAGCAGACAAGTTCACCTGTCTTCCAAATCATTACCTAGAGTAACTTGCAATTTCAGAAATTGACGTATGTTTGGCACCTGAGCTATCATACAGAATCTTTCCTCCTCCACTTTTAAAAAGCATAAGCACATGAGTTCCACCTAATTGCACAAGTACCTAGGCTATAATTTGGTGATGATAAAGGGAACTGAAAACAACAGGCATTTCTGAAACCTAGCAATGTGAGGGATCGTCCTCCTGAAGTATTTTACCTTCTGTACTCCTGCTGTACCTACTTCACAGTAATTCTCTTCTTAGACTTAACAGGAAAATATAAAAAGTACAAAAATCCTGTTGAATTTCTCTTTTACCATTAATACTCATTAAACTACTCATTCTTTTCTTCAGAAGGTGACTCATGCCCTGCATTACCCTCCCTAAACCACTGTGCTGTAACCTGATGCTGCTTCCCCTTTCATTTTTCAGCTCTGCTCTCTGGCTTTGCAGGTACTACCTTCATCTACGCCTGGAGCTCCTGTAACCCCCACTACATTTGAATCACACAACTACAGTTTCTTTCTCTCTGTCTCCCTTTGAACTGACAAAAACTCGATAAGGGCATGTCTGTGGAGTCTGCAAGAATGTGACACTCCTCAGGTTCAGCACAGTGTTAAGCAATCACCATGTACTGCATGTACTCTGAGGCAAGCCCTAAGACTCATGTTGAAAAAGCACGTTCGCCCACACAGAAAGGGGACATAACACTAAGAGAAACCTGTTTAGTGTGCTAAGTAAAGGATGAAGACTGAGGAAGTCTCATTGTTTGCTGGCTGTGGTGTACAAAAAAGACAAGAAAAGCTACGCAGCACATAACATTTTAGTTCAAGTGCTGGTAAAGTCCTTTTCATGCTCCCACAGCTGTTACTGATGACTGTGCCAAAAGGGCAAGCTGCCATATATACAAGTGCATTACTTCCAAGACTCTTCATGCTGCTAGGATACTTGAAGTCCACACAAGTTGAGACTGGTTTGCAACCTTTGAGAAGTAACTAGCAACATGCACTTCACAATCTGTGTTCATGATCCAACATATTTATCCTCAAGCCTAACAGCCAATCGTTCTCTTCAGCAAACATGGCACTAAAGATGGACTAGTAAAGGAGACCTGGTGCTCCCTAGCCACCATACCATGGAACAACCCCCTTCACCCAGCACCATACCATTTTTAGACAGACTGTGTCCTTTGCTGTTGAAACAGGTGGAAGACATCTATTTCCCTCACTCTAAACCAAACTGTTTTTAGGAAGAGGGAATCCAAGCAAGGCATGGCTGGAACAAACCTCCAGAAAGCAATGTGTTAGTCCCATCTCCCTCAAAGAACTAACACAGGACCCACAGACATGGCCATAACCCTTTATGGAAGAAATAAAAAACTATATTGATATAATTAAAAGGACTGGGTGAAAGAAAAGAAAACAACTGAGTCAGAAGCTGAATTGAGCCAAGAAATTTGCTAGGACAGCAATGAACTACCAAAAAGCTTGTGCAGGGCCACGGACTAACCCTTAACTCCATTATTCTTTATCCTGGTGTTTTTTCTGCAGCACTTACATCCAAGTTCTGTAGACAATACCAGCAAAATGTGTGCTTGCAGTTCTTGCACATCATCTGAGCACAGCCCTCGTTTCGCTCAATATAAATTCGACAAACTGGGCACTGCTTAATTGGTGCCTCTGTCTCTGCTCCAATAAGGAATCTAGAAAAGTAAGGAAACATTAAAGTCAGATGTGAACATATTGGTCGGTATTCAGGTCCACTGCCTGATGTGTATTGTGCTTATCTTTAAGAGCATCTAATGTTGTCTTAAGTGTCCTCAGTGTGTGAAGCTTCTTATATTCAGTACAATACATTGAAACACACTCGCTACTAGGTGTAAGACTATTAATGTCACATAAAAGTGAAAATTCCTTGCCTTGTTCCTTTATGCTGTATAAAAGCAATACTCACTACACCCACAATTAATCACCTATAGCATTAAAACTTAGCATTTTGTTACAGAGACCTTACACAATTCATTTAACAGGACTGGATTATGCAACTCATAATCCTTGTCTGAATCCTCCTTGTCTGAATAAAATAGGCTTAAACTCTACCACAGTCAGAGATCACACCTAGAGAAGAAAAATCACAGCAAGAGCTTTTTGGCAACACCTATTCCATGGAGTTTCTAGCAAGCAGAATGCTATAGGTTTTAAGTTTTTCATTTATTGAAAAAAAAATTATAGAAAACTTTGAAAACATGACTCAATATAACCTGATTCTGAAAACAAAGATGGATAGCCAAAGACATGACATAGTTTAAACACAAAAGCCTCTCTTCTATAGATCAATGGCTTTTACAACCTGATCTGCAGGTTGTTTGCAGTTAAGGAAAATGAGCATAAATAAGGCTTTCACTCCAAGTGAAATTTACACTGTGTAAGAGTTAAGGTTTTTCTGTGCAAAGATTCTGTAAATATTAAGCAGGGGTGATTTCTTAACCACAGCATAAGCAAAATTTGGATCCTGCAATATTGGTATATTGGATTTTTGGTATGGGCACAGGTCATAATTCTAGCATGTGAACAAAGCCTTTAGGCAGATTTAAAGTCCTGGAGGGCTTCACCTTTTAGAAGTGTCAGTTGCAACCCAAGCTTGACAAGTACACAGATAGTATTAAGTATGTGAAAATAAAATTTAGCATTTAAAGTAATATTTAGACTGGAATTGTATTTAGGAAACACCAGGAGAGTTGGACAGTCTCCAAGCTGAAGCTGTGGACCTAGAAGGAAGCTGCTCCATGAATGCAACGTGAGGCCCTGTGATGAAAAGAACCAAAAGACGGCACGGCCATCGTGGATTCCCATCTTACCCCTGCTCAGTGGGTACCGGGGTCATTTGGTTTTCCTGGCACAGGTGCTGCCCATGCCATGGCTCCTTGCAGGAGGAGCAGAAGGTCAGGTGGCAGGCGGGGCACTCCACTGGCACTGGCGCTCCCGACTCACTCGGTGCCATGTGGCACACGGTTTGGCAGTCAGCTGTGGGGCACCATGTTCTCTGGGGGTCCAAATGGACTTCTGAAATGCAACAGAGAGAGAAATAAAACTCTTTATGCAGTCCCCTTCTTGTCCCAGTGACATGTGTCTAGGTATACAGCATCCAATTCTGCACAAGGGTGTGGAAGCCAAAGTGCCCCACACCCACACCCACGGGCATTTGGGCCTGCTCTTCTTCAGGCATGTCTGCATTTGTCCTCTGCTAAGCAGTTGCACTGAAAGCATTGCAACAATAGAAATACACTACACAGAATGTGTTCCTTGCCTTTTTATAGCAAGGTTCAAAATATGAACCTAGCTGCTGCTGGCTGAGAAGCAAGTGTCTTTTGTAGCACTAGGCCACTCCATGTCTTGGACATGTGCAAGCCATGCAGTAACTTCCATGTAAACAGCAGAATGACTGTAATTAAATTAATGTCAAGTCACTTTCTATGTCTTATGTACTATCCTTTATCTATAAATTGCAGTTAATATTCACTGTATCATATCATTACTATTTGTCCGGTATCAGATTATCACAGGAGTCAAGATTCAGGGTGTAGACACTGAGTTACAGTCATCACCACATGGCAGAGAATGATAAATGTTCATCCTCTCTCTCACTTCCCAATCTTTATTCAAGGACTTTACAACAAAAACCCAGCTGGGACACATTCACTGTTGGTCATTTGCTACTCAATTCCATGAGGTGCATGAACACTCACACCCTCAGAGCCTCCCCAGAAAAGGGCTGTCAGGAGCAACCTTGCCCCTCCTCCTTCCCTGGTTGCTCTCTGCGACCACCACTGAAAATAAATAGATGGAGGGGATGTCTCCAAAGTCAATGGAAATCCTGACTGTGAGATGGCAAAAGGCATTACAAGGTACCTCCAGCAGATAAAATTAGTTGTCCCACTTGAAACAAAAAGCTGCACAAGGACCTCATATACGAGTTCACTGGCAAATTTTGCTGAAAGCACATATGGACACACAGGTACACACTACTCTGACTTCGGGTAATTTCTGAGTCTGTGTCAGAGAGCTCCAACATATGTAGAGAATTTCTATTTCCATGCAAAGGTTGTCACCTATAATTTAGGCAGTGACAGCAAAACACCTGTGCCATCTACCTTCAGCCATTTCATGGATCTAGTTGCATTCTTTTCTCTTACTGTCTTGCACACACTTTTTTGCCTCCCAAAACAAACATTATGCTTTCTATTGAATGAAAGCAAAAACAAATTACATCTCGGCTTCATTAGTAGGGAGAAGAGAGCCACAGCAAATCAAGTAACTTTTCATATTTACATACTTTTAAAAGGTAATGTCCTGACTGAGAAATTTTTATTTCTCTAGGTTCCTTTGGTGTATCTTAAAAGAAACCCTGAACTGGTTAAGACTATGGCCTAGTACTTGCTATTGCATTTAATCCTTCACACAATAGATTCTGCATGTTTTCTGTTGAAAATTCAGCTTTGTAAACCTAAATTTCCCTATCCTGTGTTTGGGTGAAAGACAGAATGTCTGGTTTTGACATCACTGGGAGGAGGAGAATTGGGTTGTAAACCTGTTTTTTACTAATTTGTTGCAGCAAGATGTAATGCAAGAGATGAAAGTCCCTCCTCTCCCACTTCCTCCATCTTACAAAGAACCTACAGATAGTGTTTTGCAATCCACGCTGTCTCATACTGTTTGGTTTGCCATGGAGCACAAGCGAAACCAGTAGCAGCTAAAAAGGCACAGCCAAAAAAGGGAAAGAGGCTATCAGCCTGCTCTGGCAAGTTGCTCCATCTCTTGGTTAGGGCCATTTCTCTGCAGAGCTTTTCCTCTGCTACCCTGCAGCCAGTTCAGCCACAGCTCCCTCAACTCTCAGGAGGAAAGCCTTCCCAAACAGTGCCAGTTTTGGGCAGGGATCTGGCCAGTTTTCATAAAACATCCAAGCAAGCAGGTGAGATGTAGGTGGCAGACAGGAGGAATGCAGCACCCTGAAGAAAATAATTTCTGGCTCAGAAGGATAGGACTGAAAGGATAAGACTGTGTTTCACAGAAATCTCCATTTAAAACAGACTACTTTTGAGTCAGGCATAAAATGGAGATTCTCCTCATCTACCACTCAGCCTACTGGCAAATACTATGCATGTGCCCTAACCACTTACCATTCCTCTATTTCTTTACTTCTGTTGACTACATCAACACCATCCTTATAGACATAGAACAATTCCTGTTTTTCTAATAAATATGCTTCACAGAAACTCTGTGGCTTAGCCCTGACTGGATGCAGAGAAGTTACAGATATGCAAAAAAATCTTGTTTTTAAAAACACACTTGCATTCTAAGAACACAAACCCCACAAGAGAATAGCTTATTATCAGTGCATCTATTATTAAATTTAACAATTGTCTGTAGATACACCATTCTATACCAATTACTTCTCACTATGTTTCCACACAATATTATTGGCCCATTAATAAAAGAAAGCAATGAAAATGAGAAGATATATATTCTATTAACATAGCTAGCACAGATTGGGGATGAGGGAAACAGCTGTTGGATGTGTAAATCCTTCCTGGGGTGTTCCAAATTTTCCTCAAAATTAATCTCACAGTGGAAAATGTCTGGACAATAAGTTGAAGATCAGGAAGAAGTCTCTGGACAGATTCTGGGTGCGAATTCATCCCCAGCAGACGCCATCAGTGAAGTCTATTGCTGGTTTCAGAAAAAGAGTGTCAGACCAGGGCAGGCAGGCTTTGCCAGGTAAGGCTCAGGTCTGAGACTGGTGCTCCAGGCCAGCAGAAGCTAATAAGCCAAGTCCCAAATTCCACTGACGAGTGCAGAAAGGTCAGCCTTGGGGACAGCATTAAATCCAGGATAGGCAAAAGGTCTTGGCTAAGGCTGGGATTAGTGCTGGGTGTCCAGGTCAGAGCTTTAGCTAGCAGGAATCATTGTTCCCAGACATCAGTAAGCTGGATTTATTGCTGGGGCCAAAAGGCAAGGCAAAAGGGCTATGCCTAAGTCTGCTGCTTGGACACCAGTTTTATCATAAAAGAGTAAGGGCAGATCTTAAAATCATGATGAAGAGAGATAGCAGAGGTGGAAGAGGATTTGTCAGACTTAGGCAAGAAAGAAAAGGAAAGGAGGATTTAAAAACTAGACAAGTTTCAGCCTTCTCTGCGTGGGAGGCAGTAAAAAAAAAAAGTAACAAAAGATCATGAGTTCAGCTTTGGCTAGTTATAGAGGAAGAGATACCAGGAAACCAATAGTTTCAGAGTCATCAGTAAAAAAAGGTTTTACATAAAACAGATTAATGTATTGCAAGAAAGTCCCTTTTTTTTAACCCTTTAATATGGTGAATTAACAAGCTGTGACTTCCATTGTCTAGGACTGTAGACAAGCCACTGATTAGATTATGAACTGGAGAGACTTTGTAAGAAATTAAGAATAAACAAGAAGGTGGTAAAACAGGAGAAAGAAACAAAAAATAAAACCAAGGTTTGGGATTTTTTTTTCTTTTTGTTTGACCCGAGTGCCTGAATATCATATCTACAATGTGCATTTGCCCATAAACTCTGGAGTATATTTGAGTATTATGAGCAGTTTTTCTACTTTGTGGTCATTCACAAGGATTCATGTCAGATGAGATTCTGTAAAAACCTATATATTCTTCTACCTCACCAACTTTTCAAGTGCATTATTTTGCCTAATTTTATAGACCTCTGCACTGTCTTACACAATCCACTGCATCTAAGCAGGCATGCAGAGTAAGAATATAAATCCAGTCTTTCAAGGAAAGTTTGAGAACAGGCAGAGTGGGGCAGTGTCTCAGAACACCACTCTGCATGCTACCATGCACTGAGTTCTTTAATAACACGGCACCTTCCAGCTGAAACTTTGAAGCTGGTGGCAGTCTTTAAAACCAGGAAGGGGATGTCATCTTTCTGACTAGCAAGTTTCTTCTTCAGCCTTGTCAAGGACCATCTCTTGATGCAGAAGAGTAACCTCTGGGCATAGGAAATGTTGACCTCAGTGAGACCTTCAGTTTTAAACTTCTCTACAAAGTAGGCCTTCCTCAGGAATGAGGGGACTACTATTCCTTGGGAAGAAAAACTCTGTTATACGAACACACATGAGGCTTTTATGTAAGCAAAGATATTTTGCAGGGATGCTTGCAAAAATTCACATTGCATTTCAGAGTACATGTCCCCCAGAAGCTCTGAAGATCCCTAGGGATGCGTAAAAGGACTGTGTGCCCTGGCCAGCACCAGCCTCTAGCACCTTGACAAGTTCTACCAGTACAACCACCTCAAGGACCCAAGATGAACATGCCATCAGAAGAACAGTGGGGCCCCAGGCACACAGTCTGACAGTGTTGCCCACAAGCTTGAGTTGAAGTCTGGTAATTAATTCATTAAGACGCTGCTTCTTTGATTCTGCAAAACAGAATTTCAGCTTTGAGTGTGGAGCACAGCCAGACCTAGTGACTGCTCCTGAACTATTTAAAAGCAAAGACATCTTCTCTGTCTCTTCCTTAACTCACTCCACAGGCTCTGTCTCTGCCATATATAACAGTGCTGCCTCCACTGACAAAAGAGAAAGTAATAGAGACAAAAAGCTTCACACCTCGTTCAAACTTCAACCTCTTGTATAACTCAAACTGGTCAACAGGAACCAAACAGGCAATCTGAAATGAGAAACACACAAAAGAAGCATTAGAAATAGAAACTTTTTTAAAAGTTAAAAAGTGTTGTAATAGGACACAAAATGAACGATTCGCACAAGCTGAAACGTCCAAGGTAAAAAGAGTGTAGTTTCTTTTCGAACTCCAATATTTATAGACTTTCAAAAGTGACTATGGATTGGAGGATGAAATTGCTACTTCTCCAGCCACACTGGTCAAACTAACAATTCATCAAATTTTTCTTTTTCCAGAAAGGAATGCAAAACAATCATTATTTACATGAAAAGTGTGTGAGAAACTCTATTACAAAAATATAAACATCAGAAGGCTTAGAAGAACTTAGAAGAACAGGGTGACAAATAAGCACTATGGTCTACACACCTGCTTTCCTGAGCTGGCTTTCAAATTCACCTTTTTGTTCCTGCTTGCTTTCAGCACCACATTCTTCCACACCCTGACTTCTTCTCCAAAACTTAAAAAAGTAGTTCTGAACCTCCCCTATTTCAGTCACACAACTCAGTAGTGTAGCCCATGTCTTTCTTTCCATGCACATGCAAACCTTCTCTGTGGATTCCATATTTACTTCAGGCTTCCCAGTTTTATTTCATGTTGGTTTAGTGTAACAAAGGGTGACATGCTGCCAGCCCTGGAGACTGCAGCATGCTGTTCATGCACAAGAATGCAGTTCAAATGAATGGTTCTTCATTCACATCTCCCAGTGTTAATGGCAGGGGCCACTTAGCTCTCAGGAGCTGAAAGGCAGTCTGGTTTCCATTTTTTATTCATTTCATGGGGTTTGGGCCAAGACAGATAATGCCATTGCTGTTGGAATTTGCCTTAGACATGGAGCAACCTACTGGTTGCTGACTGAAGTTAACAAATGTAGTTGGCATAGACAAACAGGCTTTGCTGATACATTTTACACATTACCCTAATTAAATTAGCAGCCTAAAAGGCTAAATGCTCTAATCTCCAATTAACACTCTACGTAAGAAGACCAAGTGTCCTATTTAAAACTAATAAGCAAATCTGCATACAGGCTATGGAGGGGTTTAAAAGAAACTTCACAGGCACTTCAGGAGTCACATGTTTGTCAGATTCAGAATGTGGGACCATTCTCTTTATCTGATCCGTTTGTAATGTTGTACCAGCACTGGAAATATGTTTCTCTTTTACTGAAAATAAACCTAGAATAACATAAGACCTGGGACCTGATCATTTGAAGCACAGTGAGACAGTGTAGAACTGACAGCTTCAAAATGGCCTCAGTGAGTGGCTTTCAAATCTCACATCCAGTATCCAACCACAGTCCTTCAGATTATTGTAAGGGGCAAAATTTGCCCTCAGTGAAGTGGACACTGGCCCTTGCTGTCCTCCTCAGTTGTAGGGCATAGCACCCATGAGAAGAAATAAAATGACAAAAATCCAATATATATTTAATATCATGCTATGAATCATGCTATGAATACATTTTCTTTCACAGATGGAAAAAATTGTATTATAAAATACAAAATTGCTTTATTAATATCTCAACTAATTTGGACTTGATTGTACACAACTGTATTTTGTAGCAGATACTTGGCTCATTTATTTAACTGAAGCCAGAGGAATACAAAAATTAATCCAAATTATGTCAAGATTTAATAATTTAAAGATTCATATGGCTTTAATTAATTAATATTTAAGATTAATATGACTGTAAGACACAGAGATTTTTCTGGGAAACTCTTCACCTGTTCATAAGAAGTCAGCTGAAATACTCTTGGAAAATATTAAAAAAAAATCAAATGGGTAAAAAGAGTGAAGTTTAGCAATTTCAGCAATGACACATCATTTCAGTTTTGCCCACTCCTCCCCAGGGCAGCTTCACATATAAATAGTTTGGAAAATGAAAAGAGTCATCTGCATTTCTTTAGCTGGGTGAGCACTGGCAACTACTTTAAATTTTCCTTCATTACAACTAAATTAAAACAGTGAGTCTCAATGCTGTAAGAGCCACTTGAGTGAATTGTTTAGTTGGCTGGGGTCCTTCTGTACTTGCTTTTACTTCTAACTAACAGTTTTTTCAAGAGCAGTTCTCTTGAGCCCAGAATTTCCCATGTATTAAAAACCAGCCTTTTTCATTACAGTGGGAGCGGAGTTATGCATCTAAACTCAGATTTCAATAGGAAGCAGAGGCACTGCTGAAAGCTTCCCATTCTCCTGAGGAAAACTTGAGCTCACCATGCCAGCTTTCCCCACTGGCTTCACTCAGCTCCACTCTTTTTCCTACATATCCTCTTCAGAGCTCAGCTTGCCCCTCCCTGCGGGCAGCTCTGGGTGTTGAACACATGCAGCCCATCACCACTGACTCCTACAGGCTTGGAAAGGCCAGGTCCTGATGGCACCCACACACACAGGTCAGCCTGAGAGGGGCTGAGCCAAAGCCTCTGACAGATTTAGCATCTTCAGGCATGAGGAAAACAATGCACAAATTCCTGCTGCTGCCTGAATTCAGTGCCACGTGAAAGCTGTATGTGCAAACTTAATTGAAAAAAAAAAACCCAAACAAACATGAATATCAGGTCCCTATAAAAAAACAGCCAATCCTTTCCTCAGGGAATTTTAATCTTATTTATACCTAATCAAGAAGGACAGTATTAAGTACAATAAGGGGATTAGGTGTTTATCTCCTCCTACTTGGCATCAGTCTAAATGTCCATTTCCAGACAACTTCTCAAGCCCCACCTGGGTGTCTGTCCATCACCTCTCCTGCACAATCACTCATGTCTCTGGGCTGGTCAGGGCATGGAAATCTGGGGAGGCAGCAAACCAGCAACCCAGCAGATGGCAAAGAGCCAAAAGAGGAAGACCATGAGCATATCAGAAAACAGGCTTTTCTTATTCTATGCTATGAAATTATTCAGTGTAGGAAGAAATGCTAGAGGACAGTCTGGTGAACTTGTCTTTTTTTTTTTTTTTATACTGGGGGTTTCAATTAAAAAAAATACAGGCAAGAACACTCCTCTCCTGAAAATATCATGATTTGAGACTTATTAGGCTGTTAGGAGTTGAAATAAGTTTTCTGATTTCCCACACCCTGTAAGCAATATCTGCAGTTAAAATCCTTTTGCTATACAGCACAAGGACACACAAGAGCTATTGCTAAGAACAGCAGCATTCACCTGAAGTAAAAACATTGATGGACAAAAGCAAAATTCTGAAGGCTTACTACCACAAAGGGCTCCAGCTGGATCCTTGTCAAGCATTCAAAAAGATCATGTCATGAAATGTGTCACAATAACCAGGGTCCCTGCTACTACATGACACAAAAGAGCAAAGAAAGGAAATTGAAATGGTTCAAAATAATTTGGTTCAGTGTACACAGCAACAAACTTTTCCAGGCAGTGCAGTAACCAGGACCCAAGGAAGAACAACTCCCCTGTTTTTAAATACTGGCTCCACAATGGAAAGGGAAAATCACTACTCCACCTATTCTCAGACTTTCAAGGGACATGCAAGGAGGCAATCAAGCAAATTGAATAGATCTTACTTCCTTTCACACCCATATGAATCAAACTTTGATAATGCCAAGGGAGGGAAATTCAGCGGGCCAAAAGCTTCTCCCTCTCTCACTTTAGCAGACAGCCAGCAAGGGCAGATCCTACACTGGCAGAAGAATTTGCTAAGGGTGGCATTGCCCACCTCTGCCAAAGCCCCACTCACAGAGGCACTGTCTTCTTTTGCAAGCAGTGTAAAATGGCTCCAGCAGGGGCTCTGGTTTGCTTTTGAAAGGAGTATGGGAGCTCAGTCTCTATGCTGCTAGAAATTACATCCACAACTTTCTTTCTCAAGCTACTATGCTCACTAGACTCATAATGAAATACTAAATTATTCATGTTCTCCATTAAAGAGCTCTTCTCTTATTTAGCAACAAATAAAAACAAAATTAAGGCTCTCTCACTTGCTCCCCTAGGTTTTACTTAAAAACAAGTAAATAAAAGAACAAAAATTTTTATTTTGACCCTGAAAAAGATAGGTCAGCCTGCAACATTTTCTCACATTGCTTCTCATTTTACCATTTCAATCTCTTCTGCAGCAAAGCATAAACCAATTTTGAAATTAAAAATAAAACTGATATTTTAGACTGAGTCCCAGTGGGACTTTGTGTTTGGCTAGGTATGGAATATAAGGCAATTAAGAATTCTAAGATCTGGGTTACTGTCCTATTTCAGCATTGCATTACAGAATGCTGACAGCCCTCTGTCAGGTTAGCACTGGTGCGGATCACAGATTTACACAGACAGAGGGACAACGAGCAGAACCCACACTGCATGCAAAGGGGGAATTCTGGACAAAGAACCCAAATCAGTGCCTCCTTTACTGACAGCTCCACAGTTTTAATCCAAATCAGATTGTGCATACATGGATCACTGCATTGATGTTATAAACCCCAGAACAATACAGGAATCAGAAACAGCAAAGCACAATGCCCTAGATATTATCCAAGTGAGTATTACAGTAGAAATCCCTGTATGCAGTGGAGATTTACCCTGATTCATAGCTTACACTGGTGACTGGATTCACACCAAGCAAAATAATTTCAAACCATGATAAATTACCCCTTATTTAGATTAGCGATATTAACTGGTCCAATTAAATCAATGGAGCAAGTTCCCAAGAGAGGCAGGAATATTCTGGACAGAAGAATTCTGCATGTTTAAAGAGAACTGTATTAACATAAGATGTTCCTTCTACCTTCTGCTTCCAGGAAGGAATCCAAGTAATCTTTGTTTATTGTGCCACTGAAGCTTGAAAGGGCAAACATTTTGTTTAACAAGACTGTTTTGGACTTCCCCTGTTTCGTGTAACCAGCTATTTGAAACAGAGTCTGTAGTCAAAGCCATTGCCTTACCACCACCACCCCTCATTTATTTCTGCTACAAGACAGCTATACTACAAGCTGCTATCTAGATAGCAGCTATCTGTAACAGGTCAAGATGTGACCTAGGATTGCACTTGATTTCAAGCACTTCAGTGGAACAGTTCCTTTTGTTCAAATGCACTATTTGTCAAAACAAAAAAACTACTGGGAAATAAACCAGTTTCAACTAGATTTTGTTGAAGGAAAAAGAAACCCAAGCCAGAGGGGTTTCAGAAAACATATTTTCAAAGTACTGAAAAGTATAATTTTCTGGTTCAAATTACTTTTCACTTTATGCATTTTAAGATCAAAAAACCTGGAACATTTTTTTTCTGAGGTCCAGAGGGACCTCAGAAAGTAAAGTCTTAATTCCCAACATCTCCTATACTCTATGAATAAGCAGTTTATTCCTCAAGCACTGATTAAATATTCAATTGTTTTAGAGAAACACATTCCTACTATTCACACTTGCTCATTTCTTCATGAGACATACAAGAAGAAATTCTATTCTGTGTTTAAATTGTTAACCAGAGTTTTTCCCTCCCTCCATCCCCCAAAAGCAACTGAAGAAGAACACAAATCAGAAGCAAAGCAAGAGCTTTGAAAAGGCTCTAGTAATTTAGCACCAAACAAGACAAACTCTTCAGAATTTTACTGAGAAAATAAACAGGACTTAATTCTGATTTGTCTAAATGAAGACAAACAGGTCACTGGAAAGCACTGAAGGAATGTTACACAGCTTGAATAAGGACCTTGAGAGGGAGAGGAAGAGAAACTTTCAAAGCTATACTGTGTTCATAGCTATAATGTGTTATATATGCTTATAAACTTTGTTATTAATTGTTCAGTTTCCTTATTGAAGAAAGCTCAATCCAAAATCCACTGAAGCCAATGAAGAGGCTTTCCTTCACTTCAAATTATGCCCAAATTCACCTTTATCTCCCTTTTGCAGGCTATGGCAAAAACAAAAAACAAACAAAACAACTGCTTTAGCTAACATAGTGAGATGCATTTAGCTCAAAAATATAGGACCCAATTTAGCAACACATCCATGACAAAGACAGTTGGAACTGTTATTTTTTCTTCAAATTGTAACAGTACCTGATGAGCAGCAGTCACAGCATAGTCTGAAATGAACATGACATGAAAAATATACCTTTACAAAACACTGATGCTATCTCAGAGGAGGAAAAAAAAAGGATCTTTTATTTTTGTTTTTCCCCACAGTACAGGCAATGTGTTGTTCCTCACACCATGGTCCTGGTGAGGAACCTTGTCCTGCCAGAAGCCAGAGAAAAAATCTCCTCAGAGGTGAGAAGCCGCCCACTTTTACATCAGGAGTTTGAGAGTGTAAGGAATGAACTGTAATTCTAAATAGTACTTCCATGACAAACAATAGCCCTAGTTAAGCACATTCTGTATCATCTGATAAGGTTCTGCTTTTTTAAGAAATAGCTTTAAAAGGCCACATTTTCACAAAGAACAGCCTTTATTTATAGAGAGGAAAAAAAGTAGTAGAGAGTGCTCATACATAAATCTGTAGTTTACATACTGTTCTTTTATATTGTGAATGGAGTCAGTTTATTCTTTATTTCATTACTGTTTTTCTGGTTTGTTTTTTTTTCATTAAAGAAATAGGTATTTGGTAAAACACATAAGCAGTAATTTTAACCAGGTTGGGGATTTGTTTGCTATTCAAGCAGAAGGCTTGTGTTTCAAGCACCTTGCCAAAAGGGAGTGTCAGAACATTCAGTCATCCACGGGACACTAATGCACATTCGGGCTGTTCAGTCATTCTGCTGTCAGCTCAAAAAAGACCCAAGGATTAGGCCAGTGGTCCATTTTTAAATACCCCTGGAGTCTCATTTACTAAGGGGAAATATATATTTCTTAATTCCTATAGCATTATAACCCTGGCTGAACAGAGCAGAACTCTTCCTGTCATTTGGTAATTTTTCTTCAAAAATACATTTTCAATAAAGGCTAGATGCCTCCAGTCTGGTGCAATGGGTGGAAGGACATTGCTACACCCTCTCTGTATCTTTGCAGAAAGAGGAGAAAGGGAAACAGCTGGCTGCTTTTCACAATAGCTGGATTCAGCCAAAGAAAAAGGCTCCACCTTAACTAACATAGCTGAAAGTCCCATGACCTGATTCAACTAAGCACAACATTTCAAATGTATGCTGGGCAATAGATCCAGAATTTTTTCTGGAGAAAAAGTAATTTTTGGTATTGGGAATCACACTGTCACTGATGGCATTTGAATAGGATTATATACTTCTGCCATAGTTATGGCATCTGTGTGCACAGAGCTCAAGATAATCCAGAAGACAAACTTCTCTTCTTCAGTTCAAGGATGGAGATATGGAGATCTAATTCTCCTTGATTTTATTTCTCAAATACTGAGAGAATGTACAAACTTATCAAAATCCCTTAGACATGTTATTTTTCCTGGTTTTTTGGTTTGCCTTTTTTTTTTTTTTTTTTGTCCTATTTGTATTCTCAGGCTCAGCAGGGACATTCCTGCCTCACAAAGCAGGCAAGCAAGCATCCTTGGGTGTATCCCAAGAGACAACTTCCATATCTCCTAAGACCTACTTCTACCTGGTGTTGTGCAGGTAGCTTTCTCTCAATATAATTATACAGCCCTGCATTATTAGACTGGACTGCAAATTGGTTGTTGCAGCCCAAGATCAACATACACAAGGAAATTCTGGCCTTGCATACCATCAATCTGAGTTCTTGCTCTTAAGAAAGATGCAAGAATTGCAGTGTTTGCAGTCAAATCAAATCTGACTGAAATGACAGTCTAATGGAGGTTCAGCAATTCTGGGAGACAGGGTATTCTGGTTAAGTCACCTGCATGGGTAATTCAGAGGCTGTCCAGATGCCAAAGGAATTTCTCTCCTAAGGCATAAAGGAAGGGAAAAAGGAGCAAAACCCTTGGAAAACATCTGTTTGTTTCTATCACCTCTTGTCAGTCAGGCCTCTTGCCAAAAGCTCATTAAAAGTAATTAAAGGGAGGAAAAATTGTATGATTACATTTATTATTATGCAGATAAAGAAATTTGGGGGATATATGTTAAAAAAAAAAAAAGAGAGAGAGAGAGAGAAAGAAGTATGAGAAGTATAGATACCTCTGCTTCTTGTAGGGTCCCACGGTTCAAGCATACCATGTCTGGACATGTGATAGGGGAACCACAACCTTCTTGAATTGCCAGCTCCACATACTGTTTTAGACACTAGAAACAAGCAAAGAAAAGAAAAAAAAAAACGTTATAGCTCACATGTTGGTAACAACCAGATGTCAGAGATGCTGTGCAGTTCCCACCTTCACCACCTTAATTGGCTGTCCTGAAGATTCAGCACACAGCAAACATCAATTATTGTAAGTGTGAATGCTACAAGTCATTACATTGGAAAGAATGCAACAAAGAACAATTAATTATGCATGACTTCATCTGCCAAGCATTGCATTTACCTAAGTCAGCAAGTCAGACCTTTCAGCCCTAACAACTCCTATGCTCTGCTAAACTGGGATTGGAGAATTTGGCAGGGGTGAGTATCTTTTATCCTAATTAAACAGGCTTTGTGCCTTCGTTTTTCCTCCTGTGTTCTTAATTCAGACTCTCATCCAGCAGTCACCATTGGAGAACTCCTTTACAACACTGTTCTCAGCTGCACAAAAGAGGAAAGGGGCTTAGCACCTGCTTGGGAGGTTATAATGTGCGCTAGATGATGTGCAGTTATCAGTTTTTCCTCCCCCTCAACCCTGCCCCCACATAGTTCAAATAATATCCATAATTTATTACAATTTATCATCAGCCTCTACTCCATAGACTCCAAAGTCTATTTCCAGTATGGAGACCACTTTATGAATGTATCCCAATTGTTCCATTACAAAAACAGTAGGCTTCCCCTCCAAGCTCAAAGAGCCCTCTACTCTCCTCACACTTTATTTGGTATGCCAGTTTCAAATATATTCAACTTGTCTTTATAACACATATTCTTCAGTAAAATCATGGCACAAAACTCATGCAAGGGACCAAAGAACAGTGCTTGAACTGTTCCTCTAAATTGCCTAGGTAAGTAGGTAAGGTCACTTCTACAGAAAACAAAACAACAAAGTCTCCTCAAAATAATGGCAAAGCATACAATAAATTGCAAGTCACCATTAACAGAAAAACAAAGCATGGACTTCTGACAGATTTTGGTATCAGCTTGCAATGTTTACTGTAAATGAAAATAAACATGTTATGAAAAGTAGAACTAATGTAGTTTTTTCCCCTACAGTTTTATATTTCATGCCCACATTACAAACCTCCTCCCCAGTACTGCTGATTTCTTCATTATTGCCCCATCAATTTTCAAGAAATATGTCAAAGTGAAATAGGGTTTTGAGACCTCTATCTCTCTGCCAACTTTTGGAAGAGGCACTGAGTTCAAAAGCTAATAGGTGAGTGATGGGGAAATCACAGCACTTCCAAGTATGGCAGCCTTAGACTCTTCAAAAAAACCATTGTTTTATTATTTATAGGCATGTAACACTCAAGTCTGCATTAGTCTGGACTATTTCGAGAAGGCCTTGCATATTGCGCTCTGATTAAAGAAATTTCCTCATTTGTATTTTTTATTGGAAAACTGATTCCCTCTAAGCCATCAGGATAATTAGGACCCTTACAAATGGAAATGAGATTTCCTTATTATTCTGTCTGTCTCTCTACTGAAATCTCCAAATCCACATTTTGTTGAATTCTGATGAGCTACAGAGATACTAGCTTAAGCAAGTAGAATAATCTTAACTTACAGGCATTTTAAATTAACTTACTTTTGATTTGTAAATATTTGAAGTGTATTCTCTTAGAAGAACATTGGGATATAACCTAACTGGAAAGCTTTAAATTAAGAACTAATGTATTCAGATCCAGCATGCACCCCTATAAGAAAGCAGCAGAGCAGGTTGTAAGGAATTGATGGTGCAAGTAGTGTGTGGGAGGCAAGGGAGATACTCACAGGTGAAAAGCAAAAAAGAAATCATGTCAGTTACTGAAGGCAGTATTAGCTCCCTAGGGATTATCAGCCCAGATTTAACCAGGAGTTACTCTTTTATTATTCCAACAGCAGTCTCCATGCCCTGTCCCATCTTCTCGCCCACTGCTCCCAAAGGCACCCAGGCACAGTGCTTTTACAAAGTCAGTTTACCCACGGGATCAAAGCACCCCCTGGCACAGCAGCTCCAGCACAGAGCAGTGAGCAGCAAACAGAAGCAGGTATGGAACCACAGTGGTGCCTGGAGTGGGCTCCTGGTGACACTGGAGCTGCCATGGCTGTGCCCACATCCGCCACCATGGGCTGGGCAGTGGCAGCAGGTGACATAGGGGAAGCCCAAAAAAAGCATGCCCAGAGCCCAGGGTGGCTCCCAGTGGTGTCACTGATGCAGATGGAGGCTGTGGGTGACCCTGTCTGGCAGCTCCATATTCATTAAGCACTGAGCATTGCCCACATGCTTCAGCACGTATCACAGGAGAAATGGGGCAGCAAGTACTCACTCCCTACACAGATTTTCTCCCTGGTTTGTACCTGTTCACAGCCTCCTCCACAAATAAAGTAAACAGAAAATTCTGCCCTCAGAGCTCCTTCCCCAAGGCCTGCACAGGCTGCAGTGTGTTAAGTGCACTTCTTAAATCTGTGGGCAGAACCTCCTTACATCTCACTTCATCTCCTCATGGGAGACCTGATTATTTTCTGGATCAAGTCTCAGGGCAGCATTTGGTGAAGGGCAAATGTTTCCTTCCCACCAAAGCATTTAGGTTGCCTTAATTCCTCAGCAAGCATGAGAGAGCAACCTTTTACTTTTGCTAAGATCCTGGCTTCTGTCTCCTCTGCGGTGCCGCCTGATATTTAGTAATTTGTTTTGACAGCATGGAACAGTAGATTTGTATTCTGGGGGCAGCTCAGGTCAGGTGGTTACAGAGGGAGGACAAAGCCTGAGAAGTTACTGCAAGCCCAGCAGCAGCCCAGAGGCTTGTTCTTAATTTAGACTCTCAGGACAGGAGCTCGGAGCACTGACAATTACGCTTTCGTACAAGGATGGGCATGAAGCTCTTAAGGAGCTTCGATCCACAGTATGGATTTTGCAATCATTTTCCATATGCAGTATCTAAGTCATTATGGGTACCAAGCCAGGAGAACAGAGGTTTCTGAGGATTGCTAATGATCTGGATTCTTCTTCTCTTCTAACCCACTGCTTGGTTGTAGGTGAACATAAGTGGCCAACCAACCTTCTGTGGTTCTTTTAGAGGTTGCTGTGTTTCAGCTTGGGGAGATTATGTAATTGGGCTATGCAGTGCCATAGATCTTCAAGCATTTCCCAGAAAATCTCTCTGTTAAATCATTTTTATAGATATGAAATCTTTGGTCTTGACTTTCTGTGCTTGGAGAAGGTGCTTTGGGTGCAATACAAGAAGGGCTAAAGTTGCCAGGAAACTTGAAGGAAACATTTAATATTTATTGCTGAAGGATGAGGCTTTTTACCAAAGGATGTACATAAATGAAGATGTGAATTTCTTGTTCCCTCTTTGCACCAAAGAAGAAACATTGGAAAATCACTAAAACTTTAAAATATGCCTTCATCTTGCAGAGAAACTCTTCTCAGAGGGGTTTCACCATTATTTACAGCTCAGCTACTAATTCAGCTGCTTACTTGAGAAGTGGCAACTAAGAGTATCTGAAAAGATGCAAGCCAAAAACGTGATGAAAAGATGTTTTCATGTCTGTATAATGAATCACAACTGACCTTCTCAGCAGTGTGTCCTCCCACACTTTAGAGAATACATTATTACAGACATAAAATGGCAAGATTTTTTGGGCATTTTGTCTACAAAAATCAGCAGTGTCTCAGGAAAACTGCATACACTACATATGCTACTTAATTGCTCTTCAAAGTGAAGGGAAAATCAAGATGCTCAGCCTTCTGTGATACAAAGAATTTCCTGAAAGGGTCTTAATCTTGACATCTTAGAAATCATGAGATCTCAACACCCTGGGCTACAATCTCCCAGCAATTTCCTGCAGTACAGTGACTTTTGAGTACAGAGAGCAGTCAGTGGCTGGGGTGGCCTCAACACAGGATCTGTGCCTTATGGTGACATTAATGCCATCCTCTTACTTTCCATGGCCAGAGCCAGCAAAGTTTCCATGAATTTCACATAGCCAAGGCAGGATGGTTGAGACAACAAACTAAAAATTGGCCAAGGTCCCGCTGAACAGGTTAGAATCCCGCTGACCACTGAACACACACTGGAGGTTTGATTCCATTATGTTCACTTCTCAAATAAAAAGCAGACACCAACACAAGTAGTTTTAATTCCCATACCTGCAAGTGTGCTCGAATCAGTTAACTCAGATTTTGCCCCACTGAGCAACTATATCATGTACATATCTGTGCTCTGGGAAACATAATAAAATCCTGAGGCATTCAAGCAAGAGAGATCAATTCAAATGTGATAATATCATTCCACTAGTAAAACTCAGTACACCTAACAGAATGTTTTGTTGCTGATCTAGCTATGTGAAGCATGTTTTGCTCACAAGGATTACTGACAACTTCAGTCAAAAGAGGACTACAACTATTTTTTTTCTCTGCCTGAGATTCATAACATGTAATGACCTTTTTTTTCAATAATTTGCTGTCTAAGCATTTTGGGGCAAGATTTTTTCCTCTTATGCTGGTTTTGTCTTTCAGGCCATCGCCTTCCTCAGTTTAATAAAATTACATCAATATCCAGTTACCTATGTCACAAAATGCTACTCATGAGGTTTTTTTGGTGGAGTTTTTTTTTTTTTTTTTTTTTTGGTTTTTTGTTTTGGGGTTTTTTGTACCTTGCAAAACTTGTAGGAAATATTATTATTTAGGCAAATTCTTACAATTTCCCCAAGTAAATATTCCTCTCCTGGAGCTAAGGGGCTGTTGAAAGAGTACATTGAAATGCAATGGAGTCATCTTTAATAATACACTGAAAAGCCTAATCAAGGAATGCACGAACTAGTAATGTAAAAGATTCCTTCTTCAATAATAAACAGAAGTGCTTTCTGTGGTCAGCTTTGAGCCTAAGAATGAAAATTCTATTCAGGCTATTAATGGATTTTTTATTTCAACACTTCTGCATGCTGCTCTAACTTCAACTTTTTTTTCCCCCAAAAGTATATTGCACAGAGGCTATTTTTAAACTACTTACCAAGA